ATGCTTTCAGGTAATCCCGTGGAGACTATTGGATCACATGCATTCACAATTCCAAGAAATGACCTTGTAATGTAAGCAGCTGATACACTAAAGTAAAAGCAATGTCTTACTATCCACTTCTTCTACTGGGTTCTGTTTTTTAATGTTTGATGTCTGAAATAAGTCCCCATTTTCTGATATTATCTATAGAGAGTCTTGAAGGTGTAAAATGGGAACTGGGATTCGCCTTTTTATGTACTGGGAAAATGGGATTTACTGCACTGGAGCTGGGATTTAACCACTGGGAAAGGCATAAACCATTTCTAAAAGGGAAATGGGATTTCTATCCTTTCACGATCTTCGACTTTATTATATGACACGACTGCTCAAGTGTGCCTATTTTTTTTTTAAGTAAAAGAAATAATAGGTACACGTAGACCTCAGTAGACACATAGGATCATGTCAATTTTTTGGCATTCGCATCCAGTGCCTCCCCGCCACCCAATTAGCTGTGGTGGCTTGTCCCCAGGGTCTTTTTGTTTTCTGAGGTCACCATATTGAAAAACGAGAAGACGCTAGGACAATGGGAATGACATACGCACGTTTGCGTGGGACAGAGATCAAAATGGTGCCCGATTTATATTTTGGAAGTGTTACACCTGGCTTGTACGCATTATGGCGAAATAACAACGATGCTAGCGAGGCCTTCCTTCAGCTCAGATTTGTTAAATTTTGGCACAAAAACGATTCAAATAAATAATAGTCCAAACACTTTTATCTGAGACACAGGTGAACGAAACATACCTGGTTTAATTGATATATTAATCACTCTTTAATCAACACAACCAGCACCTCACCAATCAGAAGCTGCGTATACATTTTTCGGAATTGTTGAGTTTCGGGACAAGCGTTTCCTTTTTCCCCTCCCCCTTCTTTGTTATGCTTTCGTCCCAACTTTCTCGAAGACCTTGGGCGGAAACTCTTGGTGCGTAGGCTACCCGCGGAGGTTCTCAACGTAATGATTACAGCAGCAGCAGAAAATAATAAAGTGAAGACAGTGATTTGGATGAGGATTGTGCAGAAGACAGAAGTGGTTTTAATATGGTGATGTCAACAAGGGTTGGAAGAGGAAGAGTGTTCACCAGCAAGATAAGAAATTTTGTTCAGTCCAGGTGAATGAAGGTTCATAATCCAAAACAATCAGCCTTTTTACTTCATGATGCGCATCAGTTAGCAAGAGAGCACTGGAAATGGGATTACAGATTGGGTAACTGGGATTTGGACTAAAGTCAGGCTGAGAACTGGGATTGGGTACCCTTCCCCCCTTCAGAAACCCTTTTTAAAAAATTCTGGGATAAACGGTTGCCTTAACTTTAAATTTTGCTTCATAATTTAGGTAAGCAACTCGAAAGCTTTCTTCAACCGGTGTACATTAATTTCGATGTATACTTGCTTTATTTGTGTGCAACATAGATTCTCTTGATATGTTCGCATTTACGTGTTTTTTTTTGTCCTGAATAATGTCATAAGTTTTACTGACGCCATCGATCATAAAGGTCACGCGCACATCTACTACAAATCACGTGATTGGTGGGGATTGTTGTGACTAAACTAGTCGGTAAATAACGAAGGATTACAAGGGATTGAACCTTAAACGATTAATCTTATTCCGCTTTGCCGACTCGTAGTCCTTAACAACTACAGTGAGGCGTTCCATGCACTACTGAGGGGGAATCTGGGTCCTAATACACTACAGGGATGATTCTGAGTTTATTCACTTTTACGTGTGTTCAAAGTCAGGTGGAGGAGGTGGAGATCCTTCCCTTCTTTCATGATAAACAGGGAAAAAATGATCCAATAAATAGGCAACAAATAAGGAAAATAATCTAAAGAACAGGACTACGGAAAAAATGCGGAGAGTAAATTAACAAAAGCGGGAAGCATTTTAGGAACGAGCAGGTGTCAAAGATAAAGTTTGGTAATAACAATGAAATCGCTCAAAACTAATAAAACTTTGTAGAATACAGTTGTAGGTCAGTAGTCCTGCTTTTATACTTTCTTTTTTGTTTTGTTTTGTTATTTTCCATTTTTCCAATTACTTTTGCTAATATTGCTAGCATTGGTGTAGACCAGGCTATAGTAAAACATGTACTTAAGAAAAAACTAAGGGGTTCCTATGGACTTTACACTTCGTAGCTAGACATTGCTCTATAATATTACTTTCTCGACCTCAAAGCGAGATGAAAATATCTCTATTCTTCTTGTAGGAAAATATAATACAAAGCTTGTAAACTCTGAGTCGCACTTTTTTTGCCGGTTCTTCTTCTTCTCTTATTTGGACTTGAACTATTTTCCATTAGATTGAGTTCGGGTTCCGCCCACAATTTAAAATTCCAAACTTTTTGATCAGAAAAAAAAAAGAATACATAACAGACACATGCGATGTTAAAAATCAAAACCTTGAAAATTCGATGATGGACAATAATCATATATTGTTTCTTCCTTTTTTTGTTTAAGACATATGATACGAACAGAAATAAAGACTGTCAGTCTCCGATCTTTTTACGGCATTGACAACCTTACGATTGATATGTAAGTATGGTCTATGGTGCATGTAATGTAGTTGCATATTAGAATATATAATGTCTTTGACTGAAACTGACAAAAAGACGGCTGTTTTATCGGCGTCTGATCTGTTGCGGCCGGGCTCTTTGTCATGCGAGTTTGAGTGCAAAGTTATTCCTGAAAGAAGGATCTGCTATTTTAGTTCTTATTTGATTATGACTCCTATCATCTTTCTATCGCTTTTTTCAATAGAAGTTTTAATGAAGGAGGAATTGGGATTATGAAATTTGGGGATGACGAACGTAACTGCGCAATTTATCTGTGAGTGAATTCATCATTACAACAACAAAGATATCAGAAATCTGAATATGTGCAGTTTTTTTCTCTATTATTAGCTCTTAGTTGGTGATTGATTTTTCTTTTCATAATTTTTGTTTTTACATTAGGGGATTAGGACAGGATGATTATGAATATAACTCCATTCCTGATGTCGTCACTTCTGAAAAAGATTATCGGGTTAGAAATCAAATACTAGCGGCTTTTAAACGATCTGGATTTGCCAAAGAAAGTGCTGGACGTTATGAATTACTCCCATGTGAATTTGGGACGTACGTTAATGCTTCTGCTGAAACCATCAAATGCACAGAGTGCCCAGCAGGTAAATTTATTCGCAGTTTATGAAAGCTGCACAATTATGTCGTCGGGATAATATGTTTACATCGTTAGTCAGCCCTGTGCTCATTATGGTTTAAAGGTACTTACATGTAGTATTAGATGGCGTGTGCTTATTCCCGGAATACGAAAGTATCTATCTAAAGACAACGATAAGACTCTGGTTGATACTTTTTCCCCTGTGGAATTTAATACTGTAAAGAGAAAGGAACCAATAAGCTACACTGTTGTTCGAGGTCACTGGCAGCATATTTTCATTGAGTCCAAACCTATATTTGTTTGATTTTGGAGTAAAACGGTGTCACTTCAGGCTGGAAATTTCAGGTACAGTGTAGGTTCCGGCAATGAGGAAACGTACACAAGTCAACCAAATAACTGACAGCAATCCTATGATTATTGAGTGGACAGTGATGAGGAAAAATCGCTTTAGCTACAAAATTTAGAAAGTCATGTTCGCCTTTTGTACTAAAAGTACGTATAGCTGTTTTTCATTGTCACGCCATCGTAAATAAAAACCAAAACCGTTCAATAGATTAAGTCCAGAATCTGGGAAATGAAAGACGTTTAATATACAAAGGATCTCGATGTGCTTCAAGTCGGTGCAATTTTTCACACGCGAGATATTCGGAGATATATTTAATCTAATTTTATAAAGCTTTTGTATGGTGACGCCAAGTTGTTACACCTCTGAGAGGCACCAACATGGCGGCCGAAAATAAATAGCAGCGTATGTTACCGAGAAAACTAGTCGATCGCTGCCTGAAACAATGCGAAACAGGGCGATCACAAGCAGCGAACCTTGAAACAAAGAAACAAACAAAGTGGATGGAAATGCATCAATCACAAGTAAACATTTGTTTCCTAAGATGTCCGCTAAGATGATTGACGGAACAGAAAGACCCAAAATTCCTTCGAAGTTTGCAAAACGCGCAGCGCGATACAACGAATTTGGCTATAATTGACTACAAATGTAATTAAGAATTGATCACTAATGTAATTAAACGACCTTAATGCTATGAAAACCATATATACTCGATTTTAAGTGGGGACACAAAGCACCGCGGCGCTCTTTCGAAAAATACAATAGAAGCGCCGCCCTCACACAACCTTAACAATACGCGCCACGGCAGTCTTTCGAATTAACAGAGTTAATTGGATTAAATGGGTTGAATGCAGTAGAAAATAAAGTTTTTACGAAAAGGCGCCGCAAACCTCATTTGTTTTCCTTCTTTTATGTGCGACTGTTACGAACTGGGCGGTTGCATTTCGAAAAAAAAAAATGAAATATTTTGTTTTTTCGAAAGAGCACCGCGGCGCTTATTTGTGTCCGACTTTTACTGAGGGTGGCGCTCATCCGAGAAACACGGTTTTGATAGCATTTGAAGGTTTTAATTTAATCAGTGTTTTTTTTACCAATTTGTATTACATTTAAGGGCTTCATTACATTTGTGGTCAATTATTACATTTGTGGCTTCAACACACATATATTATACTTTATTATGATATTACCTTTTAGGCGATCAGAATAAATATCACGTGACAATGACGACACGTTAGTTTTAGCTCCAAATCGAATTTCAGCCCTTGCATCGGTATTTTTCTTGAAAATGCTTTACGCTACTACCTATCTATAAATTAGATAAACAGCAATTAAACCACAACTCGTTAATATACTTTCTCCAAATTACTTTTTTTCAGTGCACGTGATGCAATTGATCGGCATACTATGAAATCTGCGCATTTCATGTCCATTGAAAACAAAACTTTTAAAGTTGTTTAACGCAAATGCAGGCCCAAAATTGAAGCAATTTCATAGATTCAGATAATTTCTTGCTCTGGGATTTGCTATTTGTAGTGTTGTGTCAGTTTAGGTCTTAAGTATGCGTTTTGTGAACTAATTTTAAGTGTTAGGAGTATTTATGCAGGCGATGGTATTTAAAGAGTGGAAATTATTTATTAAGGGTCGTCGTTAGTTGTTTGCTTATAGCCGGCGTACTTAGGTACTTACTTAACACTTTAAGCTCGAGTTCACAACAACAACAACAAGTACTTCCCATGCAGCACAAGATAATTTTCCGTGCGTGGCTGCCCATGCCACCGAAATCTTTCCCGAACATGGTAATGTTGTAGAAAGGGATAAAATTGAGGAAAGGGAAAACAATTAGAGAACATACGTCTTATACGCGAGTTCATCAGACGTCCGCTATTCAAATCTATTTAGCAATTGACAACATTGCCAATTTCATTAAATTTGAGATAGCGTGACACCGTCACTACCTCACCAGTTTTCTCCCTTTCACAACATTACCATATTTCAGAAAGATTTTGGAGAGCAACCAAGAGCGGTAAATTCAAGCCAATTTTCAGGTATAATTACTAGTGTTTTATAAAACTGGTCCAGATTCATCCAACTCATTCCTGCATTGGTGGTATTTCTCATATTTGAAGAGATAATAAGCTAAGAGAGCGAATCCCCCATACATGGCCCTGTTCCTATGAAATATATTTGAAATCTATTTTTGGTTCTGGAACTGCGTTGCTGTTTTAATGACGCCACCTTATTGGTCGGTTAGAACTGCGTCGTGTAATTCTATGCTTGACGGTTAATTCATTTCACTAACCATCACGTAGTAAGTAACGTAACGAGCGAACTTTTTGATAAAACGTAAATTGTCTATCGTCAATTCAATATATTTTGAGAGTTGAGACATTTAATCCCAGTAAGTTTTCTGATGTATCACATCTACCTATTATTTTCCCTTGCTAGTGATCTTTTTGGATCCTTTATTCTTTCAGGAGGTTTCTATTCGGACACGAAGGCTTTTGTAAATGACGGCTGCCGAAAATGCACCATTGGAACTTTTGTACATTACAATAAAGCACCCGGGAAAAGACTGCTTGACTGCGAGCCATGTCCAGAAGGTAATTCTCTGCTTAAACTTCCACTCTTACCGCATTATGGAGCATAATATTAAATTCAGCTTCCTTCTCATTAGCCGAGACCCTATGACGTGACCTGCAATTAACTGTCTACAAATAATTGTCTGCTCGTGCGCAACGTCGTCCAACTTTCTTTGCCTGCAAATAATATTCTCCTTATGGATCGCTCTTGCAAGAGTTATAGTTATGTGTATGTCCATATTGTATTTAGCTGTAATAGACCTTTTTACCGATACGGCGGCCATATTGAATTAATTCGATGAAGGAGTATTATAGGATGCCCAGGGGGCATGAGCACTTTTCGTTTGTATTTTCGAGCGCTTTTCGGGACATTTTTTCTTAAAGTTTTCTTAGAATAAGATTGTAATGCGAAAAAAGATCCTTGTGCCGTGGTCGGATGTAATAATGATCGCCTTTAGTTTAGTATTAGAAATATAATCTTTCACTGTATATTTCTCGGAAAAAAGGTGATCATTATTTCATCCAAACACGGCACAAAGATCTTTTTTCCCATTATAATCTTATTCTAAGAAAACTTTAAGAAAAAATGTCCCGAAAAGCGCTCGAAAATACAAACGAAATGTGCTCATGCCCCCTGGGCATCCTATAATTCTCCTTAAATCGAATTAATTCAATATGGCCGCCGTATCGGTAAAAACGTCTATTAAAACTAGAGGTTACAATTATGTGTGTAATGCTGCACGCAGATACTGGGTGTCTGAGAAACGGTGAATTAATATACGCATGCAATTAACATATGTGGAATAAAGGATGATTTTAAGTGTTTACGCGCGCCACAATGAGTAAAAGGTAGCGCAAATTGGAATAACACAAAATAAATAAATGAATAAATAATGCGAAGATTTGATTTCTATAGTCTCTAAAAATTAGCATAATAACAAAGGGTCACAAGTTCTTCAAGTGAATACCTTTGCGCGAATCGAGCTTCAAAATCAAGACCACTTTTCAGCCGTGTTCATCAGCAGAAAACTCAACGAAGACCTTAAATTTCGAGAAGTCAAGCCAGCCATTGTTAACCAACAATGTGCGATGCAGGATATGTTGGTTATACTCGCGGCCACCTCCACGAACGCGTTGATGGACACAAACAGAAATCGTCGTCAATTTGTACACATTATCTTAGCGAACATAACTCGGACGTACCACTTTTTCTTGCTCATTAAAGGTTCTAACAAATTTGATTGCCTAATTAAGGAGATGCTCTTTATAAGAAAACTCAAACCATCCCTAAACGTGCAGGCGGACTTGATTCGCACAAAGGTATTCAATTGAAGAACTTGTGATCCTTTGTTATTATGCTAATTTGTAGAGACTATAGAAATCAAATCTTCGCATTATTTATTCATTTTGCCTTGAGAATGATGTCATGATGATACCGAAACGTCGGCTTTTAACGTTAATATTCGCTTGCAGATGTATTCAAAGTTAAAATAAAACAGCATTTTTAAGGGTATTTTTGGAAAACTAAGTTTTAGATATTTGACATTGTAAATTTAGCTGAAAAGCCTTTTTGAGAAGATTAATAAAGTTATTATTATTGCCCCCGCACAGATTTCGCCCAGAAGGCGAAATCCCGAGGGGGCACTCTAGTAACTTGCGCGTATATTAAGGAAAGTACTTACAGTTGAAATATACAGTCATAAAGTCAATATAGAAAAAATCTCGATTTCCTTGACCAGGGGCCGCGAGGAATCGGTAGGTAATGATGACGTTTCTATTGTTTGCGCCCGCAAGTACGAAATGGTAAGGATGACGTAAAGAAAGAAAATCCCCAAGGGACCGCTTAGGTAGATTTTGTGACATTTATTGTGCAGTCATACTTCGACACTCTTTTGCGTTACGCGGTTATCAGTGACATTCTGTGGAGCAGTTGTTTCAGTGAAAGTTATGGACCAAAATTTTAACGACACTTGTTAAGCGCAGAAGAAGTTATAAAGTGCGTATAAATGTGTATATATAAACACTTGGAGAGTTTGTTAGACACGAGTTCACAAATCTTTCATTGGAAACCTTGCCAGACACTCTTTCTCTCTCTTTTGCCGGAATAAGACTCAGCTCCAAACAAGCAAGACGAGTGAGCAACAGCTAGCTTCTCAGAACGATGTACGATTACAGAAATTCGCCAACAATCAAATTCTGTGCTGACTTATTCCCTGCTCACAGACGTCCTTCCGCTATAAAGTTTAAAATAAGACTAGAATGCGCGAGTGTGAATTAATCAAACGTCCTTTTATTAAATTTCTAAGGCTTCCTTTCCGGCAAATAAAATGAACTGAATGTAAAAAGTGAAAGAAAAATAGCGAAAAATTCAACTTCTTATTAAATCTTTTCTTATGCTTTAGAATAAACTGATTCTCGAAACTTCCAGTCCAGTCGAGTCACTGGCAATATTTTCAGGTCAGGTGCATGTTCTTTGCATAAGGAACTTTGCCACTTGGGCCTGATTAATACAAACGGGTAAGTGACGTTTACTGAAAATTCGAGGACTTCGAGAAGTGAGATTCTCTGATATCTCAGGTCACCGGAGTATTCGGATCTGCATCGTACGCCAGTGTTTGTTTACAGATGGTGATAACAGAGATTACGAGTAACTGAACTTTCCAAAGTTTGGCTCAGAAAGTTTAGTCAAACTTATTTTCTTGTCAAGGGCTGCTGCAGTCTGAATTCGAATAGTATGTCGCAATAGAAACCAAACACTGAGTTTTCCTGGTTAAAAAAGTGTCAATCAACCAAGTAAGACAACAGCGAGCAAAAGGAGGTAAAATGGAGAAACCCCTGAAATCACACGTATACGTTTTCGTCTAGCACGCTCGCTTTTGGTGGGCCAAAAAGGCTTTTAGTATGACATACAGTATGTATGTATGTATGTAAATCTTTATTTAAACACGGGAAATCATCAGTTAAGCTTAAGTTAAAAACTAAAACTAATTACAACTGCTTTACATGATTGCCGTGTGGGAATCCGATATATCAGCTACCTTCTTGATATTTCGCTTAAAATGCTCAACGGATGCAGCGTTTTTTAAGTTTTTGGGCAAGTTATTCCATAACATGGCCCCGCTGTAAGAGAAGCTTCGTTTCAAATAATTGGTGCTTGGTTTGGACAAGGTCAGCCTTCCCTCAGAGTTTCTTAAGTTGTAAGCAGAGTGACGCTGAGAGAAAAGACTTTGCAGATATTCTGGAGCAAGGTCATTCATGGTTTTATACATCATTACGGCTTTTTGTTTCTTTCGTCGAAGAGATAGCCTCTCCCAGCTGAGGGTGGAGAGAAGGTGGTTTGAGCTCGCATCAAAGGGTGATTTAGTAATAACTCTGGCTGCACGATTCTGTAATTTTTGGAGCTTATCACTCAAGTAACCAGGAAGAATGGTTTCTTCAAAAGGACCCTTTCACACCGGCTAAATATATATACCCTTGATGCTATAACATTCTGAAATATGGTAAAATTCACTGTATCAACAAAGCACGAAACATTACTATCTTTGCGCGGGTGTTAAAAATAGAAAGAAAGCCTAGATCAAGATAAAGTATAGCTTGAAAGTAACTTTAAGAAATGTGCAACAAACTTCTTAAAGATGAACAACAGATTAGCTTTCGTTTTCTCGTACGAGCGTTTTGAAAATGCCGTAATTTGCATAATTTCCTTCGGGCCTTCGACCAGGTTTAGGCCGATTTTAAACATTCCTGTTTTTAAAAAAACGGCGCTTCGCTGGATCTTTTGAGTACTGTTTACCAAAAGGGTATTTTTTGATCTGGCGCCGGACTCTCGATATTTAATGAGAACGGTTCTTAAATTTCTGCGTTCGCGTGTTATTGAAAAGTGCTAACTGTTTCCGAGAAACTTAACCTTATTAATTTATGCAAGTATATCTCACAGATTACGAGAATTCGTTTGAACAATTTTGTTTCATTTCTTTTGTTTGACAGGAACTGACTCAACTGCATTTGCAGGGTTTCGCGCCTGCAAATGTTTGAAAGATCATTACCGTACGAATTTGTTTGGGGCTTGTAAGCCATGCGAGCTTGGATTAGAATGTCAAGATGATTGCACAAATCTTAAAGATGGCTTTTGGTGGAAATGGAAGAGTAAGACACACCGTGAGCTATACAGAAACTTCACCAAAACCGCAAAGGACTCCTCATTTACTCCTGAATTACACAACGCGAATGATTCCCGTATCGTATACCCGTACACCATTCCTCATCCGTACAGATGCCCCATGACAGAAGCTTGTAAGGGAGGTTTGAATTCTTCATGTAATTCTGGTTATAAAGGACCATTATGTGCAGTTTGCAGTGATGGATATTATAAACAACTGAAGAAATGCAAACTGTGCCCAACTAAAGGAGGGATGATCAGACAGCTTGCAATTATGGGGGCAATAGTTATGTTACTGGTTATTATCGTGGTGTGGAGAAGCAAGAAAAAGAGCAAAAAGGATGCTGGACGATCTTTCCTTGACAAGGCCCTTGGAAGTATTAAAGTTACAATTGGCTTTTATCAAGTGACTTTTGGTATCATGGAAGCGTTTTCATACATTAAGTGGCCTGAAAGTCTCTCAGTTATTGGAGGATATTCCGAGATTGTTCAGGTTAACATTGTTCAGATAGCCCCCCTCCACTGCATCATTCCCAGCTTGAAATTTGACGCATTCGCAAGTCTTTTTGCAGTTATGGGATTGAATTTTGTAGCGGTGATTGTGGCCCTTGCAAGCTTCGCCTTTGCCACTTGGAAATCAACACGACATATTTTGAATGAAGAAGAAAAAATAAGGAAAAAGGAACAAATTAAAACGGTCGTAAAGAGAAATCTGTTTTTCTTTCTTTACGTGACCTACCTGAACACTTGCCTAAAAACAGCCCAAGTTTTGCCCCTTGCCTGCCACAGGATCTGCGTTGACCAGGAGAAAGATGAAGGATGCGAGCAATATTTGAAAGCCGACTACAGCATTAACTGTAAAGGGGAGAGATACAACCGACTGGTCTTCGTGGGATACTGTTCCACTGTGTATGTGATTGTTCTGCCTATTGCTGCTTTTATAGCAATTTGGAAACAGCAAAGAGCAGAAAGCAAAGCTAAGGAGGAAGCAACAACCGACACAAATGTTCTTGAAGACCAAAGCACGGTGCAAACGGCATTACGGTTCTTACACGAGAACTACCACTCTCGTTGTTGGTATTGGGAAGCGGTGGAGACAGCTCGAAAGGTTATTTTGACCTCTGGATTGATCCTTCTTGGTGGCGAGAGCAGAGCGTACATTGGATTGGCTTTGGTTTCGTCTGGACTGTTTAGTATGTATTTCGGGCTAAAAAATCCAATGAGTGATCCATTCGAAAACAAGCTTATGTTGTCTTCACTTGCCGTTACCTTCGTAAACCTTGCAATCGGAGCCGTCAGCTCAATCCCAGATGAAAGTTTTCCGTCATCAGTCGACCCAATCTTGGATACCCTTCTGTTCAATGGCTTGATTTATGTTGCCAACTCCTTGGTGATTGGACTCCTTCTTGGTAAGTCAATAGCAAAAATTGTTTTTCTGTCACAGTCCTGCTCATACCTTAACTGACACCTTATTCATGTGATGTTTCTTATCCGGCTTGACGTATTTTATCTTCTTTTTATAACTATTAGCACCGGCGTTTCATATTTGTTTAAAAGGGAAATTGTTTTCTGTGGATGGCTTATAGAACGAGAAATATTCGGAGGAACTGGAGGTGAATGAGCGAATAGCACCGGATATTCACTGATTGAGTAGTCAATCAGAATGCGTGAAAAACGCTATCCACTGTTTTAGTATATACTAAAAAGTATAAAAGGCTGGTTTACACGCCACCAGATTTGTCGGCAAGATTTTGTAAAGTAAACTTGTCGAACACAAATAATTCCAGCCTGATTTTGTTTTTATTTTGGCCTGCCTTTTGACAAAGAAATGCAACCTAGAAACTGCAACATGTAAATTCACTGTCACCGAGGACTATGGTGTCCTATAATCGGCCTTATCGGGTAAAATTATATTTCGGGCTGTCCAATTAACCTTACAAAATACCAAGGTGGTGTATAGGTGGGCAACTGAGTTTTTTTGTTTAGGAATAATTTGTTTTTTAGGCCTAATCTACTGTGATCGAAGATGATTGCTATTTTTTGGGTGCACGTTAAAGGGAACCTCCACTCTTACTACAGAATAAGTTTAAATCGAATAAAATTATGTTGATAAACAAATTTGTTCGAAATTTGTCTTTAAAAAAGTGTTTATATCAGGAAAAGTGAATTTTAAAATCGCTTATTTTCACTTTCAAATTCCGCGGGCGCCGCCATCTTTAATAATTGTGACGCCGTTACGGTTGCCCTATTGTTCTGACACAAAGAGCTTTTGTTTATTAACAATAGGGCAACCATTCATTACACGTCACAATTATTCAAGATGGCGACGCCCGCAAAATTTGAAAACAAAAATAGGCGAATCTAAAAGTTATTTCTTTCGGATACAAACGCTTTCTTTAAAAATATTTTAGATTGACTTGACTGTAACAGTTATTTCCTGTGATTTAAAGTTATCTTTTTGTTGAGGTGGAGGTTCCCTTTAAGACTATTAACTCGATGTAAAATTTGTTTAACCCTTCATTGTACTGTTTGCAAACTCTTTTTTTCTCTAAAATCACTTAGCCTTCCCTTAAAATTCACATGAATGTGACCTAAAGTTAACCGATCTGTGGATTACAAGTTTATTGTTTGATTGAAATTATCAATTTATTAAAGGAAGCTTTGTTTTTAGCCTGCGAACTGGAAACGTATTTTCTGTCGTCGCTTCTCTCCCTCCGAAAAATAACGTCTGCGATCTCGAGCTGCAACACGATTTCCGTGAAGTCAGTGTTTATTAACCAATCATCATTCGGCTCTTGTATTTGTGAAGCTAACACGCGAGGAAAAAAAAAGTGATGTTTATGAACGTTGATGCGGATTGCTGACTGGTTATGGATAGTCTGTCGCGTTCCAAGATTTGTTTCAATAGATAAATGTGAGAATAACATGTAATTGTTATTTTTCCGCTATTCAGTATTATGGAAGTTCAAGCTAAGTGAGGCGTTTATCTTTGCTTGCAGTACAACACGATATCGCTTAGTGATATCAGCTCGGCGGCGAACATAAAAAGATAAAAAGCTGGATAAAATTCTATCGTTTACGATCACCAGAATCTTGGCTTGGTAACGAACGAAGGCGAAGAATGTTGGCAAGCAAATCGTACAAATAGTTGATGAAGCTATATTTTAGGCTGCAATTCATTCTTCTAAATTTAAATCTGTTCATCGCTATCCGTGAGAATTAAACATCCTGAAACAAGAGGAAACGAGCTGGGCCCAGCGTGATTCAACATTGCAGGAAAACATCACACTCACGGACTAAAGAAAATCGCTCAGTTATTCAGATGCAGAAGGCACTTTGGAGTAAATTAAAGAATCTAAAACCCTTATTTAGCCGCAATAAAGAGCTTTTCCCCTCAAAAGCGGTCACAGAAAATGATCTTGCATCATAGGACAAATCATCTTCCCGACCAGAAACGAAAACCGGTCGGTATAAAACACGGACTGCGGACTGCAGACTACGGACTGCGGACTGGGTATAAAATAAGGACTAGGTATAAAACGCGGACTGGAAAATATGGACTGGGTATAAAACACGGACTAGGTATAAAACGCGGACTGCGGACTGCAGACTGCGGAATGGGTATTAAATACGGACCACGGACTACTTTGGTAAAAACGGTGCTAATTGGTTGTAGGTAAGGAAAAAAAAATCAAAAGATCGCTAAATAGCAAGACACGTGAGTTAAAGTTGTAAATACTCCTATAAATTCTTGGTGGAGGTGTGCCGCCCGGTTCTCTGAATCATGAGCCGGATCAAAATGCTATTTTCTTCACCCATTTTTAGACCTTGTCTCGGTCTCTATCAATCATGAAAAGGGTCAGCCAGGGGGGTACTCCCTTATATAAGGGAAGGGTAGGGGTTTTGGGCCTTTTTGGTCTGAAAACACTTTGCCCATTTTGATGTGGAATAGGGTATGGTTTTTCGAGGGAACTACGGGAGCGTACATGAATGGACGTATTTATCGTTTCAATTCCAAATGAATAAGAACGAAATAGAAATGTGCGAATTCGAAATGCATTTGGAGAATTTTTTTGTTTCCGCTCTAACTTGGTAATGATGACATAATTTCAGCGTAATTATACCTAACCAGTTCCAGGCTCCGAGATAGCTGGATCCGCTGAATTGAGAAAGCACGAACACGAAAATAAAACGGGAAAAAACTGGGGAGTCTCTCCAACTATCTGAGAGCCTGGAACAGGCTAAATTAGGCCAGGACCGACAATGGGTATGGATTTTAGAGATCTGGTCTGAAAATGGGTGTGGAAAATAATATTTTTTGGTCTGCAATAAGGTCAGGATTCGGAGAATCGGACACCACCCCCCACCAAGAATTCCCAGTAGTACCCTCCTCCGGGGATCAGGAGCAGGGTGTAAGTCATGTCATCATAATCATCGCTTGGAATATAACGTTGGATGACTCATTTAGGTTATTATTCACGTATGTGAGTAATCCCTCCCCCCTTGCCCTCTCCCCTAAATACCGCTTTTGTGCATTGCAGAATGCCCTACATTGACCTTCTCGTCTGAGTTCTTCGTTCAGTCCTCATACGGAATTGTGGCATTCGACAAGAATTTTACTGATCTGACTAACACCAATGCTATTTTTTTAATTCGGTGCTTCTTATTGGTTTAAAACTGCAAATTGAAATCTCTTCTACCTCCTTCTTTTTATAAAATTCAGAGTTAAATTTCAGTTGCCTTGAGTACCGGCATAACCTTCCTTCTCCGTGGGAAGAATAGAATACGTGAACAGCCGAGGGAATGTTAAAGCTGGGACTACTGTTTTTGCTAGTCCGCTTTCCATTTCTCTCAGTTTTACCTTTCTAAAGCTATTTTTATTTAGATAGTCCGTAGTCCGCGTTTTATACCCAGTCCTTGTTTTATACTCAGTCCGGAGTCCTCATTTTATACCTAGTCCGTATTTTATACCCAGTCCGAAACTGACCGAAACAAAAACCACAGAAAATCAATAAGCGGGTCATGACCTCTCAGTGTGAATCAAGCGGCTAAAATAACATTTGCTCAGTCGAAACGTAGAACCCTCCAGCATCATCTGCCCGTCAGAGGAAAAACCCCATTGGAACAAGCAGCTTTTGGAATGAGGTAAAAGTCGTCCCTCAGGGGCGATGAGCAATGAGAAACATCCACGTTTGCAGGCTATTGCAACTGACGTAAACAGAAAAATGGACACTGAAATCGACTCCAACTGAGGCCGAAAAATTAACGCACAAATCTCCAATTCACTCTCGCTAATGATCTTCACTTTCTCCTTCAGACTGGAAATTTTACACTTAAGGGAAAAAGAAAAAAACAACATCCTTTGACCCAGGAAACTTTTTTCGGCGTTTCGCCTCTCATAGCTACATCAACATTTGGTGGTCCTCGCGATTTCGCGCGTGCAATCAATGGCATCTTTCTGTCACTCAATTTAATTGGTTGAGGACAGGAGAAAAGAAACGACGTCCCGGAAATCGTTTCGCAGGTCGAGATCGAGATCGCTATTTTCGCTTTTAGCCCTGGCTTAATCAACATACTATAGGAGTAATCGGAGCTTAGGAGAGTGCGTTCGATATGCATATGTTCGTATAGGTAACAGTTGAGGGGAAGGGTGGATGGTTCTTGCGATAAATAACTATGATTATACCCAGAGTAGTCAATCGATAAAAATCGGTCTCGATAAAAATCGATAGCAATCAAGTGATTTTTATCGATTGATAACGAAAGTCGGTGAAAATCGATAAATCAAATTGCTGTGTCAAATTGATATTATCGATTTTTCATGATTTTAACGATTTATAACGGTAAGTCCGACATTGTTGTTTTTTGGTATAAGTTAAATAGTATAGCCGAGAAAACACGTGACGACCAACAACTGATCAACAAATAGGAAATAAGAAATGTGAAAACTATTACAGACAAAAAATTATCTCTAAAACCGTGACCGTTTTGTACATAATAACAGAAACGGTTCGGTTTAATTACATTCGCAGTTCTCGCAGGCAAGTACCACGAGAAATACAACCTTAGATAAAAGATTTCCCAGCCTGAATTTTAGACATCCTCTAGAGTGAAAGGGATGCCCGAAATTCAGACTAAAAGATTTCTCTGGATAGCGTTTCACCGTTTTCCGTTATCAATCGAAAAAATCACTGATCAATAACGATTTTATCGATTTCGATTTTTATCTATTGGCTGCTCCGGGAAGTAACTACACGCGGAACTTTTTTGAAAGGGCGGCAGATCTAAATCGTGAAAAACTGAGAAAAATATAAGACCTGGCCAACCTAGCAAACCTGACCAATATCTGTCATCCGAAGAAGACGTTATTTAATTGAATGCGGGTTTTAAAGAAAAGATAATATTTTTTGTAACTTTTTTAAAAAAAAAGTGATAGTAAATTGTTTGATCCCTCGACTCTCAATT